AGTAGTGAATGAATTTGAATACTAAACACATCTTATATATTGTATAATGAGTTCCCAATTCTTGCACAAGAATTTGGATCGCAATCTCATTCGTGGCATAGATTTTGGTTTATATTTAATGAAAGTTATGTACTTTTCATGTAATTATATAAAAATGTAATTTTTGTGTAAAAATACATTTATGATTGCATTGAATAAACAAATAAATTGAGTTAATGTCTCAATAAATTTTAAAGATATTTATTACAAGCAATAGTTGTACTTTTTGTTTGTCAATTAATTTTAAATTAAATGATATTTTTAAAAAAATGGTATAAATAAAATATTATAATTGTTTAATTAATTCTAATAATAAAACAGCTGGAGCAAAAAACAGAGTTACTTTACATAATATGATACCCATGCCAGATATTATCATACATGCTATAGAAATTATTAATAAAAAATATATTTCAAGTTTTAATCTCATTAATTTAAAATAACAGTCACAAAAGGATTACAAACATGAAATATTTATACATTTTATTGGTGTGCATTTGTATTATAACTTCGGCTACGAGTGAGTTGTTATTTTGAGTCTTAATGTAAATATTAATTAATATCGATTTAATTAAAATTTTATTTATAAACATTAAAACATAGATCAAGGCTTAAGACAAGAATCGATATCTGGTGAATGTCCGCCTAAGAATCGCGACGACATATGTATTACATACAAAGATGAGTGCGGGGAAGACCGCGATCATTGTGTTGAAGGTGTTTCCCGATGTTGTCCCGGAAAGTGTGGCCATACATGTATAAAGTTTTAATAAAGGGTTTAATAAATATAGTCTATACTATAGACCCTAATTACTAATTAAATTAATTTTAATTATTTAAAATTTAAAAATATGATTGTTATTACATTGTTTGCATTAAGAACCAAAATTGTTATTCTATAAATAAATAAAATACTAACAAGACATTCATTACAAGAAATAGTTGTACTTTTTGTTTGTCAATTAATTTTAAATTAAATGATATTTGTAATAAATAAATGTTGTATAAATATTATAATTTTTGTTTAATTAATTCTAATTAATAATTTAAGAAAAATAATACAAGTGAGGCAAAAATTATAAAACAGCTGGAGCAAAAAACAGGCTTACTTTACATATCATGCATGCTATAGAAATCATTTATAAAAATATATTTCAAGTTTTAATCACATTATTTTAAAATAATAGTCGCAAAAGGATTACAAACATGAAATATTTATACATTTTATTGGTGTGTTTTTGTATTATTACTTCGGCTACGAGTGAGTTGTTGTTTTGAGTCTTAATGTAAATATTAATTAATTTTGATTTAATTAAAATGTTATTTATAAACATTAAAACATAGGTCAGGGCTCCAGACAAGAACCGATATCTGGTAGATGTCCGAAATTGAACAACAAAATGATCGCTTGTTTCCGACGCTACGATCATTGTCCGCGAGTCGGTCTCTATTGTGTTGACGGCGTTTCCCAATGTTGTCCCGGAGAGTGCGGTAATAAATGTGTATCAAATAGACAGACAGACATAGATTCTGATGTTTTAATAAAGGTTTAACAAATATAGTTTATAGTAAAGTCTATACTTTACATGTTTATGTAAATGTATACTATAGACCCTAATAACTTTACAGATTAATTTAAAAATGTGATTTTTATTACAAAGTTTGTATTAAGAACCAAAATTGTTATTCAATAAATAAATAAAAATAACTGTTAATTTGAAAGTGTATTACATATTTTGAACAACGCTTTACATTAAATGTTACATTTACTGTAAATATTTCACACGTGAAAGCTATTGATAATAGAGGATCTGTTCAGACGTAACACTGTATAAGACTTATCCGTGTTATACTTCGGCCAATTTAGGTAATATTGCGGCAAAACTTTACTGTCAATCATAATTATTTTGATAATTAATTAATTGTTTTAATCCATTGTTATTAAATTGTGTTTGTATTTTAGCATATATTATAAATTTAAATAAAAAAGCGTATTTTAATATTAATTAAATTAATTTAATGTATCAATAAATTGTTAAGCCATTTACGAGAAACAAATTGTGGTACTTTTTTGTTTGTTAATTAAAACTAAATTTATGTACTTAAAAAATTATATTTTGCATAACAATAAAAATAGCTATAATTTTTGTTTGAGTAATTCTGGTTTATAATTAAAAAAATTAATTTCATTATAAATTTATTATAAATGTTTGTAGAAAAGGAAATCCCAACAAAAATTGCTTCGGATATCATATCCGTTACTTTACAACATGCTATATAAATATGCGTATAAAACAGATTACAAGTTTTAATCTTATTATTTTTGGTTTGAAATAACAGTTACAAAAGGATTACAAACATGAAATATGTATACATTTTAGTGGTGTGTTTTTCTATAATGACTTTGGCTACGAGTGAGTTGTCGTTTTAAGTTTTAATAAAGATATTAATTAATTTTGATACAAATTATATTTATAAACATTGAAACACAGGTCAGGGCTCCAGACGAGGACCGAGATCTACTCGATGTCCGACATTGAATCCTGGGATCAGATGCTTCCGACACTACGATCAGTGTCCGCGAGTCGGTGTCTATTGTGGACGAAGTTTCTCAAAGTGTTGTCCCGGAGAGTGCGGTAATAAATGTGTGAAATAGACAATCATATACTCTAATGGTTTTAAATAAATTATAGTCTATGATAGACCTCAACCACTAAACAGATATATTTTTAAAAAAGTGATTTTTATTACAAAAGTTTGTATCGAGAAAAAGTCAAAACTTCAATGTATTAAAGCAATAAATAAGTGAAAATAAGAGTTAATTTTAAAGTATGTTAAATATTTTGAACGACGCTTTGAATATTTCACACGTCCTCTCGTGAAAGCTGTTGATAATAGAGGATCTGTTCGGACGTAACACCATATATGACTCATCCGTGTTATACTTCGGCCAATTTAGGTCCAGTTGTGGCAATACTTTGCTGTAAATATGAATCGTTTTAATCATTGATTCGTTGTTTTATTTCTCTAAACTTTGTTTAAATTTTATCATAAATTATATATTAGGAAAAAAGTTAACATAAAGTGCATTTTACTTTCAATTTCATTGTCAAGTGAACAAATAGTATTGTTATTGTATACTAATTATGGTATATCCCTAAATCATATAATGATACAGTAGTATAGCATGAATTTTAATATAAACTGGTTTTGTGCCCGACCATGGTCGTTCAACGTTTCGTACCCTTAACTTAACAAGAATGTAATTTTGTCTAAGACTATGTGATTATACGGGGAATTACTTTCCTGTCATTGGATTCAACATTAATTAAGAATTCAAAATATTTACCCATTTTTGGCGAAATGTGACCAAATTTTCATAATCCGTTTACTCATCTCTATGTCCTGTCTGTCAAAGTATTTCGTACGCCTCAGCGGATACCCGAAGACGAATGGGACCTCTTCGTAGTGACTGACGCCCTGCCAGTCGCCAAACTTAGTGGCCTTCGCCTTGTGATCAAACACATACATATAGACCGTCTTATTCCTGGCCGACAGTTCGTCGGCCATATAAATGGTGGGACAAGTGATAGAGTTGTCGCCAATGCCTTTCGATAGCTTATTAATGTTGTTGAGCGGAGTGTCCACTTCTGGCCCAGTAATCATCGAGTTGGCGATCAGCGGCGCTATGTTTGGCGCCACTCCTACCTTATCGGTCAGAAACCAGACAAACATATTCCTCGTCTCCTCTAATGTTCGCATTTGTGGGAAAGTGTGTCGTCTGAACACCTGAGGACTGGCCACATGCATGAGCCACGAGCCCTCGTTGGGCACCACTCCGGCCAACAGTTCCTTCATATTGGCGAACAGATACGTGTCGTTCAGCAGATTTGCCGGTGAATTGATGTCCTTATAGAAGCCGTTGGCCGTCGGCACAAATGCCAACTGAGAGCTCTCCAGTATCTGTGTTTGTGCCTAAAAATATGGTAATTTTAATGGTTGTTAAAAATTCATAATTGCCTACAACTCTATTATTGACTGTCAAACTAACGTCAATGAGTTGATCGAGTGGTACTCTTCTGAGACATTGGATCACTTTATTGGGATTAGTCCTGTAGTCTCTGTTTGGAGAACAGCCCAACAATTTGGCGAATCGTTCGCCGTTTTGTACGGTCTTTGAGGTCAATATTCCGGGCAAAAGAGCGCCACCGCTGGCAGTGATGGCCCGCGAGAACAGATTCTTCGTGGAGTCCATTGTCATTAATATACCGACACTAATAGCGCCGGCGCTCTGACCAAAAGGCACAAGTTTGTTGGGATCGCCGCCAAATCGGTGTATGTTATCCTTAACCCAATTTAATCCCAACGACTGGTCGTAGAGACCCATATTTCCCGGAGCGCCCGGGCTTTGAGCGTTTAGAAACCCTAACGCGCCGTTACTTAATAGCGTAGAGTAATTGCATTTTAATTTTAATCACAAATAAATAAAAGTTTTAATTTATTTACCGATAATTGATTGAAACGACAACGACATCGCCGTAAGTGGCGAGCACTCGGCCGTCGGTCTCGTGAAGGTTAGCGGTGTTGTAATTGAAAGCCCCGCCGTGGATCCAAACCATCACTGTCCTCAATGTCTTCGGTCTAATATCTGGTGTCCATATGTTAAGCGTCAAACAGTCTTCGGATATCTTATCGCTCATATATCTCATGGGAACTAAACTTCTGGGAAAGACTTTGTGCGGACACATGTCGCTGAAATTCATTGTCCGCAAAACACCCGACCACTGTTTGATGGGCTCCGGGCGCGCAAATCTCAGGTCACCCACCGGTGGCTCAGCGTATGGTATGCCCAGAAAGGCATAGATTGTCGAACCAAATACTGTCAGATTCTTGCCCTCGACTGCACCACTAGTGGTCTTCACAATAGGTCTCTTCACTGGGAATGCATTGGTTGAGTTGGTTTGAGTTGTCTTAGACCTACCGCTCGTATTGTCTCTTTTGATGTTGACTTTGGACCGATAGGGCGGTCGGGTCTCTGCCGATACGGGCGACAACTTTTGTGTCGAGTCATTCATATCGATAATAACCGGCAAATTGGACTTTTTGGTGATGTTTTCGATGTTATAGTTGTTTTGGTCGTCCAAACAGTATTTGGTTTTCTCGATTGAATTAGTCTTTGATCGCCAAACGACTACAACACAAGTGGTGAACACAACCACAGCCAGAATCTGTGTCTTTGTGTCAAACATTTTTAATCAATTTGCGATAAATTACTCTTTTCTTATTAACAAAGTTTTATAAACTTTTCTTCAATTTCCTTAATTAAAACTTGATTTTTAATAAACAGTTTTTTAATTAAGAGATTACAGGAATATATGATTTTTACACAACAAATGTCAACTAAATTTTATTAAAAGTTGAGCACAATATGAAATATGTGGATAAGCATCACATCAAATAGTTTTTGTTTCTAACTTGTAGTAGAAATTTACGCAATCCTTACATAAAGAAAAGCGAAAATGTATAGAAAATGAAAAGTTTATCTTTAGGTCACTGTTATGTTATGTTTTACAAGACATTTATGGCAATCGTTTATAACAAGTGATAGAGTTTTATATCGGATTTCAAGTTCAAAAGTTTGTCCGATTATTGCAGTTATTGTATTGCAAAAGAATCGTAAGAACTCTAGGATTAGAAAAAACTCATTACAGAATCAGCCCTAAGGGAGAGAGGGATAGAGAAACACAGGCTTTCACTCTTCATGAGAGAGAGAGAGAGAGAAATTTTCCAAAATTTCTAATCAATAATAATTATCACATTTTCTCAACAATACTATGACATCAACTAATTGTTTGGTTAGAATAGCTTTCAAGTCATGTCAAACCCCTTTCTCAATCATTTAGTAGACATTTCAGACACTTATTACTATTTAATAACTTGTGTATGACTTCAACATTTCAAAAAATATGAAATATGAAAACAATTTTGATTTTCACAAACAAACCGAAAGCGGAGATGAATTTGAATTTAAAATTAACTTTTGTTTAAATCCTTTTTATTGCATTTTTGATATAATGGTAAAAGGATTGCATAAAACAAAAAAGAAAGTTGTCTACATTTAGTTGCTATTATTTGGTATCTGAAGTGAAATATTCATATAATCGATGGCAACGATAACCTTCGCTGACAATAAAAGAGTCTAAAAACTTATATTAAATACTAATTTACAAATTTTGTAAATTGCTTTACACTAAACGTCGATTACATTGATATCATATATACATAGTGTACAGAAAAATACTTTAAAAGTCAGTGTCGGGGGTTTGCATTTTTACATTGATTAGCATTGAAAATATGTAAACCCCCGGCCCTGAGTTTTGCAGTACATTATAGTACACGCCATACACTATAATAATGTTTAGATTCCAGTAGTTTTAAGATTACATCCACTCGATTGAAGTTAATTGAATAGTTTTGTGTTCAAAGCCTTGAATACTAGTAAAATCAATACCAGGAGATGATATATCCAATCATTAATCTATGCTATTATTATAGTGAGTGCCCTTTTGTTTGTATTTGATTTTATTATTAACTATACATGTAATTGAATTAATAAAAAAAATGTTTGACAATAAAAATATCATTTGTGTTTTAAATGTTGAAAATTGTTATTTAATTATAGATCACATGTATAATTGATTCATTCAAATCGATCATTATTTTAGATACCATTCAATAAAATTCAAACAAATTACCATGTTCACATCACAAAGAGAAATTAGATTTGTTTTGATATTTTGAATGTAGATTTGAGTGAAGAAGTGGTCACAAAGAGAGATGTTTTGCAAAAACAAACAATTAGTTGATGTCATAGTATTGTTGAGAAAATGTGATAATTATTATTGATTAGAAATTTTGGAAAATTTGCGAAACTTTTAAATCCTTATTATTTAGCAATTGTTTTCATATATTTAAATTCATGGCAAATGACTCCAAGTTTATGAGCACTAAAATTAGTATCACTTTAATAAACACTAATTTTATAAACATGTAATTTTAAGGTAAAATAATAAATAAATTATTGATATATCAAAACATAATAAATGATTTATTTCTATATTTCCCTTTTAGACAGTCTCTGAATTATTGTTGGAATATTTATTACTGATTTACATGTGATTAACTAAAATTGTTTTGACAGTAGTTTAAAATATTTACTAAAATTTCTGAATAAAATTAAATTTATTTAATAATTATAATTCATTATAACTCTTTATGTAGAAATATTTTACTTTATAAAGATACCAACGACTGTTTTAATAATTTTGAACGAAGTAAAAATTAAATAAATAATTTTTAACAACATTTATTTAATATATTTGGCGTTATATTAAAATAAAATTCAATTTAAAGGGTCAGATCAGTAATTAAATCTAACCGTTTGATATTAAATAACATTTATACTTTAGATTTTTGTTGGAAAACAAAAGTGTATTCAAAAGAAAGTTGAAAATTAATTTAAGTTTTTTGTTTTAAGTTAAAACTGTTAAAACTTTAAACAATAATTGTTAAAATTTATCCTCAAATAACTTTTGTTTTTTAAATAAATAGATTTTCTTATGAAATAATGTGAAGAAATATGGGTTAGATTTGGTATTTATACAAAATTGTCTTCATTTGATTGTTTTATATATAATTTATTTTAAAAATACAATTTCATTATAATTGTTATTATGTTTGTTTTACAGATTTAAGTAAACATTATAATATTTTAACATATTTTACTTTTTATAATTTATTTTTAATGTTAATTAACTTGTTTATAATCGTGTCATTAGATTTTATATGTGTTTTAATTTATATTTAATGATTTAATGAATGAAAGGTCGATATTTAAATACATTATACGAATTATCAGTTAATAGATATTGTTTTATAATTTATTATTAAATTTTGTTACTTATTTGATTTAAAACAATCAAGGTTATAAAACTAAACCAATATTATTATTTGGTTTTAAATATATTTATTATTAAAAATATAATCTATAAATGTAATATTATTATTATAAGAATACACTAAATAATATAAGAATTTAAGTAATATACTATTTACACGCTATACAGTTATTAAACTATCACTATTTTATATATTCAATTTGATCATTATGGTATGAATATCTGCTTTTAAGTTACTTTAGTTCACTGTTGTTAAGGCACTGATGTACTTAAAATATATATAGGCACATTATATAATAATTATTTTTGTTATTCTTATTTTTTAATTAGAGAGGGCATTGTAGATGAGTTTGTCCTAAAATAAAGCAGCATTTAAAGTAAAACTAACTTGATTATTCTGTTTAAAAATTTTGATTATTCTGTTTAATTTATAAATATATTTATTGTAATTTTTATAAATAATTTTAATATAATATACAATCAAAATATAGAATAACAATTTAATTATTATAAATAATCATTGATCATCAGTAAAGTTGAAATATACCATCATCGCAATTATTATTATGCAATATACAATAATTGCAATATAATATTATACGATTAGCTGCGAAATGTTATTATCAAGGATTGAATCATTTGCTCGGAAATGGTATGTAATGAGGGGACAAAGTGACGACAAATATGCTAAACAACAGCTAATTATATGCATATTCTGTTGGTTCGCGACATTTCGCTATATATTTTTGACCATTACTTCAAACACCAGAATTTGGGCTCTAATGGGAGACCCGTTTTACTACACAAATAATAGGATTCTTATCAATGCTATTCTGTTTGGCATTTCATTATTGGGTTCACTATTCAGAACTGTTTTTATTGCCAGTAAGTATTGCTTATGTAATAAATACTTTAAAATATATTTAAATTTCATTAAACTAATTAATAAATATTTAATTTTGCATACGATTAACAGTCGATAATTATGAACAATTAAAATTCGTGTCTAATTTAAGCAATGATTTCAACAAATTATTGCCTCAAAATAGAAGAAAAAGTATATTAATGGCAAAAATTATTGAAATCCTAGCGTTTAAAATAATTGCTGCAAATTGTGTGACACTATTTTCAACAATCTATGTCATTTATGGTGTTTACGCATATATTAAACAAGATTTTTATATAACTTTAATATCTCTTATATTTTGGACAATAGTATTAATCTATTGGTCACTTACGATAACATCGAGTATTGTATTTTCATATTCAATAATATTTATATTTACATTTATAATGAAATTAAGATTTCAAGAATTATATAGCAGTTTTAAAGTCAATCCTATCATAAATGGATACGAATTAATTAAATTCATTGATAATCACAATCAGTTAACTGTGAGGACACATGAAGGTAACAATATCTTAAAGTATTTGATGGCAATGCATCACATGGTGTCCACGTTTAACATAACAGTCTTAATGTTCATCTATTTATACGGAGAGGGAAATTATTTGTTCCGTTTGGCAAATCTCTGTGTGGCCGTCAGCGGCGGTTCACTCATGTATGCCATCACTTCTTCGGCCGCCGATCTTTCACTACAAGCTCATCGACCCTACGGTCTGAGCAATTCGTATAGCATTACCGCTAATATGTTGGCTAAACAAAAATTTAAGGCAAGTTTTAATAACAAATTCATGCAATAAAATGATTTCTATATTTTTAATAAATGCTGTTTTAGTTATTAAAATTTATTGAACGTCTTTCGGGTCCTGTAATTGGCATTTATTGTTATAATATATTTGCGTTCACTACCTATCAATTTTATCAAGTATTATTTTATTACAATGTTTATATAATAGAGTACATTAATATTCAATTCATTTTATTTCAGTATATAATACAATGCGTTCTGCTTTTCTTGATATTTGTCGGATTATTCAATACTTATTTTGATGGCTCATAATAAATGTGTTTACTTTTGTATTTATTTAATTTGCTTTTATTAATGTTATACTTAATATTTGAATAAAAAACAATGTAAGTAATCATATTCATGGAACAATAAAATTGTTAGATATAAAGTGAGTTTAGGATGTAAAGCAAATAACATCTAACCATCCATTAAAAGTTAACAAACAAATATTTATAATACAAATTCTGTGAAAACCTTTTTTATTGTTAATACAAAGAAATACATTTGTTTTATGAATTTAATAAACATTAAAATAAAGAGATAATCAAATCAAAAGTAAACTAAATGTTAAAAGATATCAAATTAAAAAATTAAATTTATTTTAAGAAAAAATGGTATTTAAGAAAATATTTGTATCACATATTTGTGATAATTAGTTGGGATTGTTGTGCCAATTGATGAGCCAATAGATCACAAGTGTAGCCAATCTATCGTTTTCGGTCTCGAGTCGATCGCGAGGACAGGCGTTGAATGTGTCGAGTAGTGAGACGTGATGTTTGTCGACACCTTTGCCGCGACAGCACTCGCATACCTCTCCCGTATTGGCCGAATCGTCGCAAAAGTCCTGCAATTGTTTGCTATATCGGTATATCATATAGAGGTAACGGCGCCGGCCTTTCGCGCTGTTCAGCTCCCGATACTCGCCTTCAAAGGGCGCCAAATGAATGCACGGGAAGTGTGTCGGAGATCCGGCCCTCAGATCGCGTTTATAGCGATTGATGTCCCAAATGGAGCCATCGGTGACCGTTAGGGGCGACTCTTTGTACGCTCTGTCCATTATTTTGGGCAATCGATGATCCATTAGGTAAGCGATGTTCGGCTCTCTTTGTTGGCGGGCGTTGGGCTCCGGGTGTTTGTGTTGATACAGCAGCCAACCAATGAGTTGTCCATTCAAACGAATGAACTCCTCCTTCAGAAA